GCATACCAAAAGCCCGAAAAAATCTAATCAGGGAAACATTGTTCATTATAAAGATATTTAATGGGTTAAAATCAAACGTTTTATTGCACAACTGCTCTGCTGGAAGCGTATAAATGCATGTCGTTGCCAAGTTGTTGCTAACGAAAAAATGTGACTTATAGGGTAATACGCCCGCGCGCGATCCAAAAGCGGGGAACACATAGGTTTGTCGCGTCAAAGGGATCTGTTGCCGAGTGATCTCCTTCTCAATAATACCTCCATGGTCTTACCTAGTTGTGCTGCTGCCCCAATCAGTGCATATTTTCCTGGATCAGACAGTTTCTAAGAAAGTAATAAAATATCTTACTTTACAAATTGTTATAAACACTTCTTTCAATGAAACTTTTTATATATAAAAAAACATATTTAAAAGAAACAATGAACATTTCTTTTTAATAATGAAATTTACAACTAAAGATGAAACTGTTGAAAAGAAAAAAAAAAAAAAACATGTTTGCAAGTATGAAGACCTGTTACTAGTGGTTAAGATGCTTGCCTTCTTATCTCAGGGTGTTGGGTTCGATTCCTGCAGATTCTACTAAATTTCAAAATAAAATTCTACATGAAAGCACTTGTTAGAGTACTATGTTGTTATGTCACGACACCACGTGATACTACTCCGCTGACGACAGCGACCCAAAATGAAGTCAACTGGATTCATTGTCTCCACTGACAAACCATTGATCCCAATTTCTAACATAATTATTATGTGTTATAATTTTAATTTTTTCTTTGTAAATTTTAACTGATGATTAAATATTTGTTAGATAACTAATATAATGCAAACTTTTGTGTTTTGAGTACATTTTGATTGTGAATTATTAGGTTTTTAAATGCCTATTCCAGAAAGCCTATTCAAAACCATTAAGATTATGAAGTCATTCAGGCGTAATGACCGCTTTACCAAGTCAATAAAGGGCGCCACCTGGTGTTGCGACGACACTAGCATTGTACTCTATTGAAGCAGCAGGTAGAGAGCAACATGTTGGAATAAAAAGCCAACAACTTTGATATACTTACTGCAGCGGGTGCAATAGTATTGAGGAGTATACCAAATAAACGACCCCATGCAGCACCTGTCAGGATGCATGGAATGAAAAGACCACTTGGAATGCTAAGTCCATATGTCCAACAGGACAGGATAAAATACACAACAAAAAATACACTCAATGTAAGGACAGAATATGCATCTGAGAAATAAAAAGAAAACATAATAAAAGATTAAGAAAATAAGTCCATAATAACACAACTGTCCAAACTAAACACTCTAAAACTTAAGTCAATGCACTAATTAAGTCTATAAAAATCAACTCAAGTACATACTCAATTCATACTATAAACACGAGTCCATACTGAACATTAAAGTACATATTAAATATATACTAAATACACTGAACACTAAAATTTATATTAAAAACTCAAGTCTATGCTTATAATAAAATCTTTTTTAACACTCATGTTCATACTAAATATTCAATTCCATAATTCCAACTCAAGGACATACTCAATACACAATTAGAAACAAAACATTTAAGTGACTAGTAATCTAATAACTCAATAATAACTCAATTATTTAGAGCTCTTACCTGGTGGGTCATGAAATAGATTTTTAATGGAAGCTTCTGGTGTACTAAAAAATAAACTAGCAGTAGCTGAGTATTCGCCATCTGCACAGAACATCTGCATGTGAGAAAACAAACTCATTCAATCATTTATTAATTTATTAATTCATTCATTTACTCATTTATTGCATTTATTTTATTTATTCATTCACTTATTTATTCATTCATTATTTCAGAATATTCACCATCTGCACAAAACATAAGCAAAATTAATTTATTAATTCATTATTCATTTATTTATTCTCTCATTTAATTATTCATTAATATTGGCATCATGACTGCATTGCAGACTATATACACGAAACAGTTGAGGATGGGTAAAACAGAAGGAAATACCTATTACATGTTTATTATTTTATGTACGCACAAAGACAAAAGAAATGCCAATAGCGATATTAATTACTTCCTAAAGTGGCAATCCCTTCACAAGACAAACATACACACAACGTAAATTAAGTCTTATTATATGAGAACAAATTTTGTAAGACTAGAACTGAACCCAGAAGTAATTTTACAAGACAAGAAAACCAGGCAAAAACAGTAATAAAAAACATGTTGTATCTATAGCGTATACAAAAAGGCTTTAAATGCACTTCAAATGCAGACTACCCCAGGGATTGAAATTTCAGTGGAACACCAACTTACCTATGGGGAATATTTCATAATATTGCAATTATTATTCAAATATAAACTTTGCAAACACATTGCACAAGTTGCTTAATAAAGAAAATAACACAAAATGTAAAAAACATAACTTGTCTTTAACGATAAGTAAAAAGTATGTTTTTTTACATGTGTCTCTGTAGATGTCTACTTAAGTGAATAAATTAGCATATTATTATAAATCAGCATATTGATTGTATGCATACCTGTAATGGGTATCTGACCTCCTCCTGAGGTAGTGACCTGCAATCCTGTATGTTGTAAATTGCTAAGAACGCTAAAGTTGCTGTTACGCTTGCCACAAACATGGCTTCCGCTAAATTCATCCATCGCTTGTACAAATATCTAGAATTGTTATATGGGCAAATATAGAATTAGTTGGAGAATCACATCACTTAAAATGGTTTTATAATGATAAATTTGTATTCTTTATTTTATTGCAATATTTATGATATTATGACGTTTTGGTTCTTTATATTCAGGTGGGTGAACTAGTAAAGGTGTACTTCCAGCTGATTTCCTCCACCTTGCTTACTATTGTCTATTCTATGCAGTGGCGTATCTAGAAGTATTGAATTGGAATTAGGGGGGGGAAGGGAGGGGTGATGGGGTGCAAAGGTCAAATGGAGGGGCTTGATGATCAGTTGAGGGACGCTAATTCCCAAAAATGGTGATTTTTAACTACTAGACTATGATTTTGTTTTTTTTGGGGGGGGGGCGACTGGGGAGAATGCACCCTCCCCTAGATACACCACTGATTCTATGTTGTGAGCTAAATTTAAAATTTAAAAAAAAGTAATTGAACAAAGTTTGACGATGTAAATATAGTAATAAATTTGGCTATTTTAAGTATAGAAATCAGTGGGAAAGAGGCTCACACAATGGAGATCATTCTCAGTTGTCCCTTTCTGGAGCATCTACAACTGTTGATCTTGCGGAATTCAAAGAGTATGCAGACTTTGTAGAACCAGGTGGATTTTGGAATTTTAAATAGAAGGGGACCGACAGAGGGACTTTCACAAACCACCTCAGCCACCCCATGGAAAATTCGTGATTTTGGCACCTCTAGATGGTCGGAAATGGTACTCTTGGACTTAAATTTGAATATAATTTTCTTCTTTCTCCATTAATTTTTTTTAATAATTTAGACTTCCCCCCCCCACCCCATTGAATTTGCCACTGCAGTATGAAGTTCCTGCATATGGTCGGCTAGATTACAACAAATAAAACAGTTGTAAAGACATCAAGAATATGAGGCAGATAGGCAGACCATTTCAAATTTCAGGACACTTGCATAACTTCCACATGCATGGGACTACTGCAGAACTGATTATGGAATTGTGTATAGACTCTATCAGAAAAATTCAACAATATATTATATTTTCAAAAACTATTTCAACATCAGTAAAATTTTACTTACTTGATTCTAAAGAGAGATAATCTATAATTAATAAAATTGAAGAGCGCCCCCAAGAGACCACCTATTATAGCCATAGCTATAAATATTGGTATTTCATATCCATAATAGTCTTTACCCTATGAAAGAGAATCAATTGTTCATAAGCTTTAATAAATACTTTAAAAAAAAATATAAATATCATATACAGTATATATCAATAGCATTGAAAAATTGTTCGACCTAATTTGACTTACAGATTGTTAATTAATGAGAAAACAATTTGGCATGTAAAATAAGATCGACTTGAAATTACTCGAGTTAGGCAAAGTCGACTTACTGTAGGCAAGTTTAACTGTAGTTATGGTAGTATATGTGTAGTACAGTATGTACACATTAGGTAGAATAATATTTTCTTTGTTGTATGTTAATAAGTACAAAAGCCATAATAAATACCTGTCTAATTCTCTATAAAATAAATATAAATCATATTTTTGTTTATAAATACATTAAATGAATTCTATATATTAAAGTTTTTTTTGTTTATTTTGCTCTAAAATGAAATTACAATTCAGTTACCTCAAATTGACCAAAGTTGACAAGACCTGGACTGGACAAACTCCAGGGCTGATTATGGTAGTAACTTAGCAGGACATTCAACGTAAAGGTTGACACCATTGATGCAAAAAACTACAAGGAATAATAAGGTATGCCAAATAAGGATACAAATTAAGTTGCCATTCTAATTACCTAATTCTTCAAATTAATAAAACCAATCCACATCTAATAATTATACAACAAACAAAATAAAATTAATATATGTATGCAACAAACAGTTAGCTACTGATGCTATCGAGATGAGAGAGATAGCTATAAACCAGCAAATAACTTTGAAAACAACTCTCAATTAAATCTGCACTTAAGAAAGTCAAGTATCAACATTCATGCTGCTAATTTAATTTATTTTTTTCCATTTACAGTATTAATATTCAAATATTATTAAAAAAACTTTATTACTATTCTCCAAGTTAGGCTCTGATTCCAGAAGCTAGCACCTTCTTCTAAACTAAAGAGCACGCCACCGACAGGTGCTCCAAAAGCAGCCGAAACACCTGCAGCTGCCCCTCCAGATACAAAATCACGCTTCTCATGATCCGTCCGGAAGTATTTAAAAACTTTGAAATCCTTCTTGAACGATGTCGTCCGTCCCTGAGAAATTCCAGCTGCAACAACAGCACCTGAATGTATCATTGGTCCTTCCTGATAGAATGTAACAAAAACGTATTAAACCAGAAATTTTTAGTTTAGCTTTGAACTTGTAAACATCCTGAATTCTGAAGCCCATGATTGGCTCGATAAAGAATGGTAATGGTAATGGTTGGAGACTTACATAGCACATACTATGTGCAGTGGCGGTGCCAGCGGGGAAAGGGGGGGCTTAAGCTCCCCATTGGTCTGGTCAAGCCCCCCCCCCCATCCGCCAAAGCTCGTCGGGCAGTCAGAACAAACTAGTTTTCCCATCCCAGCCATTTCCGGCCATCCAGAAGTCCTACTTTTTTTTTAAGAACACGTTTTGGGAGGAGGGAGCACCCCAGCTTGAGCCTTCGGCTCTCAGATAATGCTTCGCGCTATAGTTACACCCATAATACTTAGCCCCCCCCCCCCTTAATTGATGGATCGATTGATCAATTAATTAAAACCATTTATACCAGCCATAATATGACAACTAAATCAAATTAGAAGATGTTTTACAATATGATTGCTATATAAACAATTCTCTATACAGGTCTCCCTCTAATGTAAGACCACTACATTAAAGACCACCTCCAATTAAAGACCATTTTTTTGTGGTCCCAACTAAACAAATGCCTTTTATTTTTATTATTCTAATTAGAGACCAAAGCCCCTAAAGACCATGGAAACCCCGGTCACAAAAGTGGTCTTTAATTGGAGGGAGACCTGTATAAGCAATCCTGTATTATTCAAAATAAAGAAAAAAACTTACCTCAATATAAGCGACAAGAAATGCTGCTATAGCCACAAAGCCAACGTCAATTGTCAGCCATAATAGGAAAGGGAGTATGATGCTAGTACTCTCAAGATCATGGTCAATAACTAAAACTAATGTTTAAGGAATACAAAAATACGTCCCACTATGTGTTATCATTTTTATAATTGAGGTTATGTCTTCACACTGACTGCCACTTTCAGTAATTGAATATAGTCGAGTGGACAAACAGTAAGGCAGGGGCGCCGCTAACTACAGCTTCAACATCGACGCCTGGTTCGAGTCTTCTCGAACCTGGTTAAACAAGAACTGGGCTACCATATAAACCAGAATGGAGTTACCAGGTTGGGCTAGACTGGTATTAAATACTAACCAATCAAAAAGGATACATTTGCGCACAATAGAGTATTTACAGCCCGCCAACTTGTCAATCATAACATCAATAAACGCTGCGATACACGCTGTGGTGACACCGATCAACAACATCACCAGCCAGCGAGCTATCTTTATTCTTCGGATCATTGACAACTAGGAAGAAATGAAGATTACTTTGATATTTATATACTTTATTTATATTTTAAGATGCAAAGCTGTAGGTCATGAGTATAAAAATACTGCAATGTATTAAAACCTAAAGCAAAAAATGTTATGTTTGTTACGTACAGTACTTCATGATATATAAAAATACAAATTATAAAATTGTCCTAACGATACGTCGCATGACCACTCTAGTTCTATTGTCACTAAGTGATCTATTGAATGAATTGTTAGTTTAAGTAAAGTGAGTGACAGAAACTAAAACTGCTAAACATTAACTTAAATTATTTCAATATTCAGGGTTATGGAATAGTCTCTTCAAAATTTAGGATTACAATATCTCTAATAAAAATTGTCTTCCTTGATTTCAACCATTTATGTACTTTATTTTGTACAATGTGGAGTATAATCATAAAATCAGCCAATTAATTATTTACTCTCTTATTAATTTTTACTAATACTGTAGTAATATTACAATATTATTAACCATATGAATAAACAAAACAAAAATATAACTAAACAAAATCACTCCACTATATCAGTGCAATGAGACCTGAAAAGTATGTATAAAGTAAACAGATAACCATAACATTCTTTGAGAGAGACAACTGATTGATGACCTATGACATGTAACAGGAAAACAATTAACTGAAGAGTTATTATTATTATTATACAGACAATGCAGAATGATAACAAAGAAATGTAAAAAAACCTATTAATAGAAACCAATTTATATTTTTGTCATATGCCTGAAAGACAACATTGCTTTAGAAAATTCCAAGGGAAAATTCCTAAATAACAGACATCACATGCTAAGGTGCAAATTGAAAACATATATATTTATTGCTAGCGTTTCACCTTCAGGGTATTGAATATAGTTTACATAGTTTGCCTGTTACTGCATTTGAATTCTATTTTTATAGTGCCTGGAATTTACTGTAGAAACAGAATGTAAATCAATTTTGTTTACGTCTGTAAAAAGTAACATTGAAACTGAGTATAAAGTGGTGTAACAGCAGTGCATGAAGATTTTTAGAAAATGTCAAAAACAGGTGGGGCAAATTTTTATGCCCACCCCTGATCAAAAGCTAGTTTAGTCTCTTATAGTTATATATATAGTATATTTAATTTTATACTTTTGTTGCTTTGTTCTTTTCTGGATGCACCATTAGGTTTTATTTAACGTGTGCCACTGTTATGAAAATGTAATCCAATAAATATTGTAATGGAATTGCCTTTCAGTAGTATGATTAAATATAGTTTCTATTATAAGTCAGGCGCTGGAGGAAAAACATTTATTGATTTATTTTTACAAAAAAACATTGAAACGGTTAATAAGATACACAGATTTTTGAATATTTAATAACTGGGGGAAAAGGGGAGGCTGGTTTTAATAGTATCATGAACTTGCTTTTTTCAACAAATCTTGAACTTGGAAAGCTAGGTTCTGGAGGGAAATAAATGTTGATATGTTGTACCACTGGTTTTTCTACAACACAAAAAGCATACTTGATGAAAAACACCCCTTTTCTCCCAGTTTTTAAATATTGAAAAATCTGTATCTCATTAACCACTCCCAAGTTTTTCTTCAAATATGCTTTTTGTATCTTAGAAAAATCAGTTGTACAACATATTAAAAATTGTTTTTCCCTCCGCAGCCTGGCTTGAAAGCAATGAATGATGAGAAAAACGTAACAGGAAACTGAACATATCTTACCTTTGACCCTACTTGCTGCTGTTCTTTGAAATACAATGAATTCTCCACAATGTCATAGTCTAAGCTCTGGAAATGGAACATAATTTATGTAAAAAGTCAGCACGTTTCAACACTGGTATATGAGGAATGTTGTGGCGAAATGGTTAAGTTGTTGCACAGGCCAAATGAGCTATAAAATATGATAGCTCAAAAAATTTCATAAAAATCCAACTTTGTTTTTCACTATAGATCAACAGTTTAATGTCATTTAATCATGTCCAAAAGTATTTGTTCTGGAAATGGTCAACAAATCGTTATTTTGATAGTTAATTCTATTAAACAATGTATGCACAAATAAATTTGGAAGACAATTACTCAAACAAGATAGTATAATACAAGTATCAAAATGCACGCCATCGTGTTGGGATTCAATATTTCGACATTAATTATGTCATCATCAGGAATGATAAAATATATGGACATCTGGCTCTGTAGTACGGAGCGTTTTCCAAAAACCGAAAGGTCCACCGATTAATCTCAGATAAGATAGTAATACATACTCCAAATATCGAAATGCACGTCATATTCAATATTTCGACATTAATTACGTTATCATCAGGAATGTTTACAGTATCTTGAGATTGCTGTACTTTCATTTTCCAATAACTTAGGCTTGACATGTTCAATTTTGATGAATTCAATGTTAAAGATTACATACTCCGGTATATGAAAATACCAATAACTTGAATTTCCATTTTTGCTACAACTTAGCCATTTTACCACAACATGCCTCATATGTTCAAATAATACTGAAATATAAAGTTCCACAAAATTACTATAGCTAGAGAACGTTTTCTCATAGTGTAAAATGTGGTCCTACTGCACTGAAGCCTGTGTTCCTCTAGGCAAATTTATTTGCTCGAATCAAAGGCATCAGTTTGGTTGCTGAGCTCTGATGGTTGCACACTTTTTCGCTTTGCAAAAAGTAGAAACAGTTCGAACTACCGATTTCGCTGAAGCGAATGCTCTGACAGAAATTTGAATATGCGTGCACACGAACTGACGCTTGCAAATAAATTCACAAGTGGAAAACAGGCCTTAAACATTAATTTGATTTGCTTAATTTGAATGATTAAGTTATATAACTTAATCATTGGAGTGGAGGTGAATAGCTTAGTGGTTAAGATGCTTGCCTTCTAAGCCCAGGGTCCTGGGTTCAATTCCTGTGACAACTGGACTATTTCTCACAACTAAAAACAACTCCACTCCCTAAGCCTCATAAAGAGCCTTCGCTGATAAAAGCATCAGATTATTTCATTTATTTAAAGAAGGAAATTGAATATCAGTCGACCTTCTAGGATACACTGGAAGGGTCACCCACTATAAATATGGTTAAAAAATTTAAAAAAAATCCAATGTGAGTGTTGGCCCATGAATATTAGCCAACCTTCTAAGATATGCTGGAAGGGTTAGCATGTAATAAGGTAATAAAATAAACTAAAAAGAATTGAGGATAATTGCATTATAACGTAGAATTAGGAAAAGGTGTCATTAACCTTAATTATTTAAATTACCTTTCGTGTAAATATTTCAAGTTTGTAATTATTAACACTACTGCAATTACTATTGAATAAAAAAAAAAAGTGTATTAATCACTACTGCTGTAGTTGTCTTCATGCAATTATCATAAAATCAATTATCGTTTTCCCTACTGTATGCTTATGCTTCTATATATAGGACCAGGTTACTTTGCAGTATTTCACAAATAAATATTTTCTACTTCCTTGAACCTAATTAAAGAATATTTTTTATAAGAGATACAGTTCTCAATGTAAATTTAACAGGTGCTAGAAATACCATAGTTAATTAACAATCATCACTAAAAACAACTGGAATGTCGAATGCTGTTGTCAATCATGTTCATGATAATCATCATGTCTTCAAGAATTGTTTAAATTCTCTTTCTCTTTCAGGTTTCACTTCAATTTTTTTTTTTTTTTACATACAAAGAAACAACTTTACTATACATAAAATGTATTAGTTCCTTCCTTGTTGATAATACAAAGAGATTTTACAGCTAATTTGGTTGAAAATGTTTAGAATTGAAAAAAAAAATTCAGATCTGACAAACAACAAACTAGGAACATGATATCATAGTCAGATGTTCTTTTTCGGTTTTAATCAGTCCAGGATATACACAAAATAACAAACCTGGAACACTGTACATGGATTTGAAAACAAAACAAATCCTTGTCTGTCAACATAACTAAATTAATCATTGAAACCTACTTGGCATATAGTTTTCTTTATATTGAGAGATAATTTATTTAATTTTAACCACTGCAACAGCTTATTAAGCTCTAAATTGATTGAGCAGGCAGCGGCGCCAAAACCTACAGCCATAATATCGGTGCTGGTTTGAACAGCAAGCCCGCCTATGGTTCTGGAGGTGAAACAAGTCATCTTGGATAAAGGACTATAAACTGTAGGCCCAGTGTACACAAATGGCTTATGAGCACTTTAAAGCACTTGCTTAAGTCGAATCCAAAATGCCATTGAAAAATTGTTCGACTTAAATAAAATTTGACTTAGAGATTGTTAATTAATGGAAAACACAACAAGTTGGCATGTAAAATAAGATCGATTTAGAAATTATTTGACTTAGGCACAGTCGACTTAGGCAAGTTTAACTGTACATCTTTAAAGATTAGTAGGGGGTTACCCCGGTCTACTGGTCCATACATCCCCTGCCATCTAGTGATGGGATTGCCACTTTGAAGAGTGAGTAAGTTCATTGTTTGGCATTGTTTTATCCATGGCCCTAGTGCTAAAAGCTGAATAAATAAATATAATATAAACACACTGCCAGTCCAAAAAAAGTAACAAAAATATAAGGTAATGAACAACCATATGCATCTATGCTTATTATTTCAAAAATAAAATTAAAAACTGTGGTGAAAAGAAAAGAAAAAAAATTATTTAAGCACAGAAGCTACAAGACATTTAAGTGGCAATAAAGATGAGTCAATTTGATAATTGTAACTTCTATTATAGCCAATAAAATAAATTGTAAAATTATACAAGATTTTAACCCAGGACCCTGGGAATGAAAGTTGTGATTTAACCACTCATTGTTTTTTTTTACCTCAAATTTGGATGACAATACTTTCATTGTTCCCATCTCTTGAACTTCCTCTGGTGATCTCTAGAACGCAAGGAAACAATAAAATAAATACAATATCCAGTATAAACTAATACCCCATTCAGACTAGCATCGCATTGCAATCGGTTGTAGCAATTGCGACACCCAATCGCAAAGTAAAATCGTGTGTGAAAGCTCACCAATAGTAGGCGATATGTAATCGATATCGCAATTGTTACCCGCTGCGATTGGGTGCTACAATCTTTATTACTCCCGATTACCACGGAATCTGATCGCAACGAATCACAACGAATTCCACAGGAACTGTTTGGCTGAGGTCAGGCAACATAGGCCTAGACACCGGAGGCCTACAGTAGGCCCTAGAATGTAAAGTTTGTTTAGGTTGGTCTGAATGCGTTCGTTGATTGCGATCGGGAGTAATCAGTTTTGGATTACCACCGATTATATCGCAACCGATCGCAAGAGAGTGTAGTCTTAATAGGGTATAACTGTAATTATCCTCACTATCAAAATACGACTGCTTTTCAGCATGATCCAATTAAAAATCTTTTGACTTGGTAAGGATCTACAGTAAGTATTTTGAACAATATTTAAATACACAGCTTTATAATAAACTATTGTGAAAATCAATCTTAGTTTTGTTCAGTAAAAATGTAAAGGTTAAAACAATGTTATATGAATCCTGTTTAAGTACTTGGAAACATCTTACAGTAATTCTTTGTACAATGTGAATTACAATATGAATAAATGAATTACGCTAATCTAAAAATAACTTTTGTACGATGGTACTTAGTTTTTCTGCTTTCTAAAGTTTACATGTTTTTTCATTACTGTAGTTTCCTTATCTTTTAGCAATAAGATTGATATCATACTGTTACTGCTATTGATTATAAAAACAGCATATTCATATATGTACACAAGGCGTTATAAAACACGCACATAAACACTATTAATTTGTATATCAATGAATGAGTCTAAAATAAATTTGAAATCAATTATACAATAATCATCTGAAGCCTTTAAAAATACAATAACCATCATAAATCCTTCCAAATGGCTACAACATCTAGTGTAACAAAGGCTATTGATAATGATGGGTCAAAGGGCAAACTGCTGTTAAACATTTTATAACTTTATTATTTGCATTGCCACATTTAGTCCACAATTTACTGCCCTACAATTAGGTATTGTGTATTAAATTTCTTTATGTAACTGGTTTTACTGTATATGTGGTTTGTACAGTAGGCCTCTGGATACAGCCTGGTGTTGACTCTAATACAATGATGCACAGCAATTTTTTTTTGTTTGCAAACACTTGGAAAAGCTTCCGTTTTTAGGCAACGAATACAGAGTATTCCTTATTTTAAAAAGTAAGGGATGAAACTTAACATATTAAAAAATAAGTAAATTTGAGGGCAACATCTTGGCCAAAATCCCATTATGGTTGGCTTGACAACTTGGTATTTTGAAAAAATAAATAGCCCTCGTAACATTATAATACAGTAGGCCTAAACAATAAAAATAATTCTCACTTACTGGTGACCTGTCCCAGGAGACCGTACGTCTGACCTTTAACATGTGTTGGGTGTGCTCGACATCTTCAGTGTCTGTTTCTCCTTGAAGTGAGTTACCATACTAGTGAGAAATAATTAATAATTATACGTTAATGAAACATACTTCAAGTATCGAAAGGCACGCCATTGTGTCGGGATTCAATATTTCAAAATTAGTTATGTCATCATCAGGAATGACAATGAAACATTGAATTTATATATTTTTTCTTTAAACTAAGTGATCTTTTCATTAAACATGTGTCAATGTTTGGTTTAAAATGACAGAAATAAAACATCAAGGATTAAAATCAATACAAATTTTGTACTGTACAGGTAGCACTTTCGCCATAAATATACTTTTAAAGATACATAAAAAATGTATGGGAAAGGATCTACGCTTCCCACATTTTAAAGCACCATACAATAGTCTAAACTGTGGACTTTAATATCAGGGTCATTAAATACATAAAGGCTAGGAACAAATAAGAAAAATGGTGAAACTTACACCAACATCACCAGGCAATGAACCATTGACATAAACTCTGCCACTAACTAGTGGTGTCCTTTCATTTGCTGCCATTGTGCTATTCAAGTAGATTTCTAAAAGGATGAAAATAATAACAGGTTACAGGTATCACTGGATGGAAGGATGGATTTATTTTATGTGAACACAAAGGATAACCCACCACGCTAGTCTGAAGAAGACTTAATTCTAGCGGGGTCCTTCTGGTAGTTATTGGGCAGTACGTCGGGAGACAATCCCCTACTCTTTTCTGAAGACAGTCTTGCATTCTTTAACATGCACTTAGGCCATTTTGCACACAGGACTAATGGCTTATTAAGTCTTAGCCAAAAGACAGTACGGTTTTGAAACTTGCATTTTAACCCTTCAGCTGAAACACAAGAAGAGCAGCGATGGGAATTGAAGCGGGGAAATGATATCTCCACGGTGCAGTGCACACGCAGTGGCTGCTGCCAGTTTAGCTGACTGAGCTAGCTGCTCGTTTAATTTATCACTGATGACAGGATTTTTTGCAGAACAAACACTGTTTTATTCATCAATTCAAGTCTATTATTACTTATACATACTGTTGTTAATCCAATTTCATGAAAAAAGTTATTTAACAACTATTAAAAAGTTAAAAAAAGATTAGGAGCTTTAAAAAAAAATCAGTTTAACTTAAGCCCGCCACGAGACACATCCCAGACACCTGACCACCTTGCACACGATCAACCGCCACATGTCCGAAATACTTATTACAAGTCTCATAAATTCTTTAAAACCCCCTCCCACCACCCACCTAAACACAAACATACTCAAGATCAACCCCACTGTCTTGCCAACCAACCCAATTGACTCATATTTATCAACACTGCAGCCAAGCTCCCAGTTACACAAATGAACTACCCTTGATGCACTTGCCTTGTGCTGTATTACTGTACAACTAAAATTATAAGAGACTAAAAATATACCGTATATACTGTACCACATGCTAGCAGACTGCAAATATGTCTTGAGTTGGGAATATATCCCCTATGCAAAAAGTAAGCCTCATATTAAGCATCATATTCGGAAAATAAGGTCCGATTTTCACACAATAATGTTTGCCAAAAATTAGGACTTGCTAGGTCTTCTCTTCGTTCTAGTTACAACAACTAGCCTATCATTTAGAGCGGTAGCCTAGGAACTAGCCTGCCTATAACGCCCTCCTTAGCCTTATCTGTCCTACTACTACACTAGCCAGGACTAGGAGCTAGGCTGGGCCTAGTTCATAGATTTCTGCCCACCGCTACCGGAATGCGCCGTGCGTGCAGTGGTGGTGCCAGAAATCTCGCTGTCTAGCTAAGCCTACCCTAGCCTAGGCCTAGATAGATGACAGCTCGTGACATGTGCCAACATTGTTAATGTTATACTTTTTTACCTACCTTATAATTATGTCATAGTATTATTATTATGCTATAGTTAGAAAAGTCGGTTCAAGGATAATGTAAATAATGACTGAGCACAAAAACTTGGGTGCAAAACGTACTTCACCTGCGAAACAAATTCATCGCATGACTCGGCGCGCTTAATCATCAATATTCATATAATTTTGTGACGACATTTTATTTTTGCGATTGGTTGGATAATAGTTACCAGTCCAAGCTATTCATTGGATGATTGGCTAACAATCTAACAAGGCACATGTAACTACAATTTTGCCGTAAGAGGGTGTGCGTTCGCTCTCGCTCGGCTTCCGACGATCCTCTCTTCATGCTAGGAACAGCAACAGCAGCAGCAACAACGACAAGACCAATTGTTACTAGCCTAGTTTAGAGGCCTAGGTAAGTAAGCATAGACGTCAAATGGCCCTACACTAAATTAGTGACCTTATAATTATTAATCTCGCTTGCGGAGGCATATACTTTTATAGCCCTGTTACAGTCAGTAGCCTAGGTCTAGTAGGCTAGGCTAGAAAATAGGCCTAGCCTACTAGGCCTAGGCCCCCTCCCTATCTTTATTATATATACAATTTCAGTGCCTAGGAGAACGCCTATCCTCTGCTCTCCAGCAGGCTAGGCCCCTAAGCCTTGGGCTTTTAATTTACTTTTTTTAGTCTCGCTATCTTATCAATATCATACCAGTAAAATAACAGTCAATACGAGCGGATGCGTTTAATGCAAACTAAATTTTTATTTCATTTATTTGAGAGGAGGGAGCTAAATCACAACATCAGATGATGGCAGGTGATTTGTTAACTAATTGAGCACAATTTTTGTTTTTTGCTTCCAACATTTTTAATGGAGCAAGGAATGGGGATGCTAGCTTTTTGTATGGGGGGGGGGGGGGGGGGGGGGGGGTGGTGTGGGGGAGTGCTACTTGCTAGTACTTGTGGTACGCCGCTGCCAAATATGTGTAAGACAAAACATAGAAAACAGTTAAGATATATCAAATTTAATCCAAACCCAAAGAGGATGAAAACTATCAAATTAAATGTTCAGTCAAAATAAGAAATTTACACTGGATCCTACAAGTATTTCGCTCGAAATGACATCTGCTCAAAGTGGAATCCGCTCAAACTGGCATTCCCTCGAAGTAGCATTCACTTGTATTGATTGGTTCCGTATAAAAAAATGTAAATAAATGAATAAATTATTATTATTTATTTTGATTTACAGCAATTTGGCATGTAAAATAAGATCAACTTAGAAATTCAAATTATCGAATTATTAGGCAAGTTTAACTGTACTACTGTATGTTACTAGGCCTAGAGCCTAGGTATAGGCCTTGCTACACCCTAGTAGTTGTCGACCTATTGTGCACAGCTCTCCTTGCACATTTTGAAACAAAGTTGAAACAACATCTGTAACAAAATGAGCAAAAAGCACAAACTGCACACAACATACCTGCTATGGCCTATATATAGTAGCCTCAGGCCTACAGTAGGTATAAGATGGTGATATTGATACTGTTGTCCTTGTAGGATAACTTATTACAAGGTCAGGATGGCATACTGAAGCATAATAAATTACACCGGCTAGGCATATGCAGAATAACCTAATAATTAGCTGATACTGATAGATGGAATGCCTATTATTAAAAAAATCATTTGCATGATGATGATAGCTTCTAATTCTTCTAAGTTTGTATAGTAGCATCTCAAGTTGAAGTGGATGGTTATCCTTAAATGTTTGTCCTTGCTGAGATGGTGGACACAGTCCGCATACAACCTTGGATGTTCAACACTAAGCTAGACACTGCAGTATCTGAAGTTCTCAATAAGAAACTAGCCAATAAGGTAAGAACATAACCAATCCAGAGGCAACGGAAATAGAATGAGGCAAGTGACAATGCATGGCTCACTTAGGTGTGAAAGAACATAACAAATCCAGCCTCTAGTTTTCTAATTTTATGTTAGTCAGTTTATTGAGGGTGACTCCAAAAGAGACATACTGTAGTTTCTTAAGTCTTGAATAAAGTATACGTTTTTAATTTATTTTATTACTGTATATAAATAATTAAATTTTGATGATAAATTTATTTTTTGATAGAGTATAACATTAATTTTTCAGTAGTATCACGCTTGAGACGCTCTGTTCTTAACGAAATACAGAGATTTGCTACGGAGCAAATTAAATGTACACCACTGTAAAGGGGAGCACACCCCCAGAATGTGCCACCCCCCTGGAAATGTAACATGTTGAGCATTCACATTAATGATTTAAATTTTGTCTTTTACACCAGGTTGTACACGACGTTGGTCTCTGCATTGCTCTTCATGATGTAACTAAGCTGGAAGAATCATTTATATTCCCCGGAGATGGAGCATCACATACTAAGGTTCATTTCCGCTACGTGGTGTTTCATCCGTTCATGGATGAAATCCTGATTGGCAAGATTCGCAGTTGTAGTAATGAAGGCGTCCACGGTGCGTTTGCTTTTTCCATCCTAATTGACCATTGTAGTTTCATCGCAATTCTGATCATTAACATCATTATTTTAAATGCTGTAGTAGTAGCAGAATTCCCCAAACCGCCTTTGTAAGGTTGTTTTCTACTAAGCGTCTTTATTCGTGTGAATCAAAAGTGTTGGTTTTGCTTTCTTAGCTCTGATTGATTGCGCTTTTTTGCTTCGCAAAAAGTAGAAACAGTTAAACAACTGATTTTGCTGAAGAAAAAAGACTGATATGAATGAGCATGAACCGACACTTTTGATTCTCACAACTAAAGTGACAAAGTGGAAAACAGCATTTGCACCACAGGTTTCCTAATTAAACAATTTACCAGTTAAACATATGTGGCAAAGACAAGCCAAACCAGTCACTCGTCGCAAAAATCGATTTTGAGTTATTAATACAGTGTTAGAGAGTAAAATAATAGCTATAAAATGGTAAAAAAATCATTCAAATCGGACATTTCCTTATGAAGTTACAAGCGTTTAACCACACAGATGTTTAAAGAACAATATATGAGAAATTAACCGTCAAAGTTTATGATTTCAGGCATATCTCATGCAGAAACTATCTTTAAATCCTTAAAAAGTATTGTTTTAACATTAAAAATGGGGAAAATAGCAGCATAGAATGATGTGTAGATATATAAAGGTTAGTTTAGTGCAATAAAATAGATTTTGAAAAATTTGACATTTCAGCATGTTTTGGCCATTTTCTCGGAAACACGATTTGCGACGAGTGACTGGTTTGGCTTGTCTTTGCCACATATCTAAACTCATAATTTACTTTTAATTTTAAGGATTAGTGTTAAATTGATTGTGCTGTTAAAAGTTTCCTTATTTAGCTCAGGGTAAGATATTAAATTCATCTACTCTTTTTGACAATATATTCAATATTGAATCTTGAAAATCCATCTGTTCACTGTCTGTGTACTGATAGTTTCAAGTTTTCTCATGGGTATGTCAAATGGTCAATGCATACTCATAATTAATGGTTCTTCTACTACAGTATTTTTATGAAGGGATATTACCCAAGGCTTGTTGAACTCTACAGTATATAGTAGCCAAGTACTGCATCCAATCTTCATTAACTAACAGTACAGTACTATAATATTTTTGCTTGTATGGTTTTACCATTTACATAAATGATACAGATGGTATCGTCTCACCATCACTATAGGCATCATAATTGTCATTAACACTAGTCTATTGCTCAACATCGTCATCCTAATTGAATTATCTGTATATTTACATATAAGTAATCGCTTTAAACTGGTTACACATTTATGTTGAGTTAATATGACCTCATTTTCTCTATTTGGTGTCACTTTTTGTTTTACTTGAAGTTTGTACAATTTACAAATAGAGTAACTTGTTTTTTCTTTTTGTAGTATCTCTTGGGTTCTTTGACGACATCTTAATTTCGCCTGATGCTTTGCAGCAGCCGTCCAAGTTGTATCCTTTTATTTTCATTTCACCCGCTATTTAAAAAAAAAAAAATTCCTCACAGCAAAAAAATAGCATGTCCAGTAATTAAAAAAAAAACTTGTAACACAACATTATTTCATTGTCCAGTAATTAAAAAAAAAACTTATAACACAATATTATTTCATTGTCCAGTAATTTAAAACAACTTAACTCAACATTATTTTATTGTCTAGTAAATAAAAAAGACAACATTATTTCATTTACCAGACAAATACGAATTTTAAATGAAAAAAATATATAACTTCATTCTTGACTTGTTGCCATAGTGATGAGGCTGAGCAGGTGTGGGTGTGGGAGTATGAAACAGATGAGGGAACACATGATCTCTTCATGGATGCTGGAGAAGAGATCCGTTTCCGGGTAATCAACGAGACGTTTGTGGATACTACGCCTGTTGGACCGGAAGATGGTCACGATCACAATATTGATGACAAGGAATCTGATGCAAAGAAGTCTCCTTATTCACTCACTGTAAGTGTATTGAGTTCTTAGATTGATACAGACATAAGCCCTGTCCAGACTGTCAAATTTTATTTGACAAAAACATGTGACATGCCTAAATATGGTCATGATGACATCACATCATGACCATATATAGGCATCTCATGACCATATATAGGCACATCATGTCTATATATGGGCATAAAACAATGATAGTATGGACAGAGCTTAAGGATAGAGTAAATCTAGGGAGTCTATTGTGCAGTGTTCTTTTGCTTGTTGTTGGTGTAGGTGAATTCTCCAGTGCTGAGAATATTGGTTGCCATTTGTGTGAGGTTGATAGCTGAGCAGGTATATTCTGCTGTTGGCAGTCATCTTAGGAAGATAGATCAGGTCTTTTTCTGTGCTGCAAGACTTCAAATTTGACAAACTACGCTGTCAGTGCCAATCTTGGTATTCCCGAATGCTGCTTCATGTCTAAGGATATAATAACTATTCTGTTAAAACTAATTTCGGATTCGACAATTATCCAGAAGTGTATGGTAGTAGAATAACTGAAACATGGCACTAATGGAAATGCTGTGTCACATTTCTGTTGCTTCATTTTTTTCATCTTTGTGAATGTATTTTGTGTTTCATCTTTGACAGATTAAAAAAAAAAAAAATCAATATTTTGAAATATATATTTTTTTTTTGCAGGGATCAATTTCTGAGCCAGGATTAGGACTACTAACATGGTGGAATGCTTGAACAAGAGAATACATATTTCAGATAAAACTAGTTCAGTGGACAAGTGGTTTCACAGATATTTGCAATGACTATAAAAGATGTTCAGCACCATCTTGTAGTGTCATGAAGTGAAGTGACTGATGTGGCTCTCTCTCTCACTTCGTAGCATATTATTATTATTTTGACATTCTTATATGGCAGTCTACAAGGAACAGAGTGCCTTACAAAGCTTCAAAAAGAAAAAACAAGCAAGTGAAGACCTAATAACAAATAGCTCTACTCAGAGAAAAGAAACGTTAAGACGAGGTTTGAGTAGAGGTGCCAGCTCGCAAATCAACGGGAAGTGCTTTGAAGATACGGGGAGCGGCAATAGAAAAGGTCCTATCCCTAGCTTTCTTCCTCAATCTTGAAACAAAAAGCCGGGTAGAGTCTTTAGAGGAATAGAGTGGACACCTGTCCAGTTATTAGTCCAAACCAAGCTACCGAACCAAAACCAAATTGTTCTTAGAGATAAAAGCCTTCAAAGGTGATTGGAACCTGGTGCAGAAAAGGTTCAACTGGGATTAGAATTTTTTGGTCAAACTAACCATGTACCTTAACATCTGACCAATAAAAAAGGGGCCAGTAATATTCGCACATCCAACTAAAACATACATTTAAGCATGGATTTTGTAGCAACAAGGGGCAGGCCTTAGTGTAAGGTCAGATATGTCAATGCAGCCGACAGAAGGGTTAAAAACACTTTTGCAAGCATGCATCTTGAAGATTCGCATCAGCTGAAATGCATTCCAAATCTGAAATAGCCACTGCTATTTAGTTCCTTAAAATTATTACAAATAAAAAATAAAAATATCTTTTCAGTATAGTTTATTTACATAAGATGTAGACGTTATCCAATAATAAGGGACTATCCAATAAAAATATAGACTAAGGGACTGCTTGCAGTGACGTAATCAAAACTATTCACTTGTAGGGTGGTAAACATAAACAGTGATAATTACAATAAACATATATTGATGGTATTTTAAGTTACAAAATGAAGATAATTTTGAACAGTAGGATTCAATGGCAGCGTACATGTTTATTCGGTTAACCAGTTATAAAGCATGAACAATTGATAGGCTTAGGTCTATTATGCCAAAACTGTATATTTGTTCAGCAAATAGACCAATCTTAGTTTTTTCTCTCATTCTTTTCAGAAGGTTCCAGTTAAATACTATAATTTAAGATGTCATTATTCTTATACGATCGACTAGGTTATACCAATAATACATTATTATATTCATTTTTTGTAGAGATACATGGACAATAAAGTAAATTGATACTGATATTTTTGGAGAATTTGTGTAAAATGATATAATTTTATTTGTTTAGTGATCATAACAATAATAATTTCTTAATTCAGATATCTGGATAGATTTCAAGGGTAAAAACATTGTGTTGTATAATTAACAATCATTTCCGAGTATTTTTTTTGTGAAGCGTGGATTTTCTTTCATTATTATGGTCGTAAAAGATATGTATAAATCTGTCGTTATCGATAAAAGGAGCTCTATAAATCTCAAAGAATGACGTCAGAGGCACGCTTATGTAAATTCTTTCTAATATTAAATCAATATTGGCTGTAAATACATCTAATATTTCATAATTCAGATTAGATCTTAGATTTTTAAAATAAACTTTGCAAATTTACATTTCTAACGAATCAATAAACCATTTTGGATTGTCAATCAAAGTTAACAACCGACCAATCAGAACAGGGCCAGGAAGATAGAGTTCTCCACAGAAAAAAAGTGTTCCACCGAAATGCATGGTGGGAATACAAACAATGGGGCGCCCCGTACGGCTGGATCTAAAAAACTTTTACCAAACTTCCGTTACCAAGTCGTTGCGTATTTAATTGTCAATTCTCAATTAAAAAAATTGTACACCGCGATGAGCTATGGTGACATACGGCATTGGAGGACGTTGCTGTGCAATAAATTGCAACACATTATACCAACAAGGTCATCATTTATATCGTTTTCCGAAGGATAGAGAAATGTAAAGTATTGCACTGACATTAAACAAAAAATTAACTATAAATTATAAATATATATTAACATTTTAACAAACTGGAATAGACACCCAGACAGTGACATGGATCAGTAAAGAATAAAAGAATAATATAGCGCAGAATAGTATGGCCGGACGCACTCTAGAGATGAAGTTTTCCTCCATTAGTGGAAAAAGAAGGGCGCTGTGTGCATCTGGATATACTTAGCAACAGAAGGGCCCCAAGTATAGAAAACTTAACCTTGCATTATAAAAAAAAAAAAGGGTGCAGCCTACGTCGGCCCCAATTTCCGCCTTATTTTTACTATGTGAGTGCTCTATCTTGTATTTCTATTATCTTTGCCATGGTTTTAACACTGTCGTTTGTGGGAACTTCGCAACAATATCTAAGTGGTGAGGCTTAGTGGAAAGGTCCGTTATTTGGATTAAAAGGGTTCTTTTGGTTGTTTTTTTTTTTTGTAAATGGTAGATTTGTTTGTTGACCATAATTATTCCAGTCAATCACCTTAATTATGTGTCGTCTAATCAAAACAAATTATTGTAAAACTAGGATATTTAAATAAAATAAATTTAACTAAATCAATCAATAAAATTGAGTTGCAAGAACACCTGCACAACGTTTTCTTTAGATTACTTATTCCTTTTTTCCTTCTGTTTGTGAAACTTCTGTCATCGACCTTTAATAACGACGGCATTGTAATCAATGTGATATTTCATTTATGATTAATTATTGCATTCGCGCTGTGTGGTCAATCAGTCATTGAACCTTGGTTGTATTTCATCACCTGTCTCATACCTGCAGTGCTAAAAATACTCTACACTACGTTTAATAAGGAAACAGAGTGGAAATGTTGTGTTAACGATGATTAAGACGAATCTGCGATTGTGTAATCAAAAATTCCAACTAATAAGCAACTAATTCTTCACACTCTTGCGCATGCGTGGTTGAACAGCAGTAGTCCTTACTGCACGCGCGTATGATTGCAGTCACATCACATTTAAAACTAATAATGATAGGAATTTAAGTAAACGATTTTGAATGTCGCATCAGCTGAAATGCGTTCCAAATCTGAAATAGCCACTGCTATTTAGTTTCTTAAAATTATTACAAATAAAAAATAAAAATATCTTTTTAGTATAGTTTATTTACATAAGATGTAGACGTTATCCAATAATAAGGGACTATCCAATAAAAATGTAAACTAAGGGACTGCTTGCAGTGACGTAATCAAAACCATTCACTTGTAGGGTGGTAAACATAAACAGTGATAATTACAATAAACATATATTGATGGTATTTTAAGTTACAAAATGAAGATAATTTTGAACAGTAGGATTCAATGGCAGCGTACATGTTTATTCGGTTAACCAGTTATAAAGCATGAACAATTGATAGGCTTAGATCTATTATGCCAAAACTGTATATTTATTCAGCAAATAGACCAATCTTAGTTTTTTCTCTCATTCTTTTCAGAAGGTCCCAGTTAAATACTATAATTTAAGATGTCATTATTCTTATACGATCGACTAGGTTATACCAATAATAATCACACACTTAAGATGGTTTTGTTGCAGTATCAATTGGCAAATAAAGTCTTTAGGGAAAAACATGATTCTTTCTGGCTAGGTTACCAGTGTACCCCTTACGACAAAAATAATCACTATGTAAACACTGTTATTGGGTGTCTTGTTAGACAGTCGTCTCCGATAAGGGGCATGCCTCAATGCGTACAGCAAACGCCCACAAACTAATGTACAGAGAGTCAGTTACATGGCAACATCCAAAATCACACATATCTGACGTTCAAAAAGTTAGACGCAATTTTGTTCTTGGAATGCGTGGTGGAGACATGCATAATGACAATTCATCTTGAACCGATAACAGTAGACTACAGAGAGGCTAATCTAACAGCATATGATTTAACAATGACGCAGAAAAGTTCATCCGTGAGCGCAAACTGCGTGAAATGTACACATAATTACGTCACAGTGCGTGTGTAGGCACGCGTGCATTTGCATCATATTTAACGATGGCATTATTATTTTTTTTTAATAGAAAAGTCCGAAAAAAACATTGTGTCTGTTAAATGTGTTTCGTGATTAAAACATCTGTGTATATAGGTTTATATGCTATTACCACTGAAGATATTAAAGTTTTACAAAACCACGTAACCATGAAAGCAAACATTTTCATAAAATTACACATTTTTCTTGCAATATAAATGATTTTTTTCAGTCCTAAAATTAGTTTTATCTTATATTCGATATCATCAAGATAATGACCAAAAAAAGAAATATGGGTTTATGTATAAAAAGAATAACAGACCTAAATACAATGCAACAGAGTTGAGTTGATTCTGGTAAGTACTAATGCAGCAAAGAAAGTTTGCCAACCAATTTGCATGAAATATTTAGGTAGAAATCATAGCAAAATATTCTTTGTTTTAGAAACAACCTTTTACATTATTACGGTATAACACAGACAGCTACGTTAAAATGACTGCAGTTTCCGAAATTACATCTTTATAAAACTACATCTGCAAACAATGAACAGCGATTCAAAGGAGGACGGAAAATAAATGTTCTGTTGTAATCAAAGCACAGAGGAGTATCATATTCCGAATACACAATTTGCATAAAACCACTGACGTTAACATTATACAACAATCTATTTCTTCTTATATTCAAGGATATTAAATTTCAATTTTAATATACTTCTTTTCATCAGTATGATGATTACATATTAATAAACTCTCTTCTTGTATGTACATTCCTCCTTAATGCATGATGTGATAAATTTAATTGAAAATATAGAGCAGTGATGAAAAATACTGAAATGTATTGCTTTTGGCAAAGAGTATAAATAGAACAAGAGAGCAAAGTCCCGTTCGTAAAAACGTCATGCCTGTGTAGGACGCCAACTAACGGTTGTATATTCTTTTTATTACCCAGTGCGCGTCGCACCCAGTGCAGCGCTGCGCAGCGCGGTAGAAGTACGCCCGCTATAAACTCAGTAAGCAGAAAACAAAAGCACAGTATCTTGTGGAGAACAGATAAACAGACAAACCTACAGTGCGCGGTGGAGTACTGGGTAATAAAACATATACAAGCGTTAGTTGGCGTCCTACACTAGCTGCGTAGAGCGTATCGTTTTTTTACGCTCCCAATGAGCGTTGTTGGCTCTCTTGTTCTATTTATACTCTTTGCTTTTGGCTAGCATTGTACAATGGACCTTTCCGAAGTGTTGATCAAACTTAGCAACTGACCAATCAGAACAATGCCAGGAATACACGCATGTCCCAAAATCACATAAAGTCACAGGTTTAGCAACAATATTCAAGGGGTGCAGATTAGCGAACAGGTCCATTAAAAGGATTGTGCAAGATGACGTCACTTGTAAGATTCATATAATTTTATACGCATCACATATACACATATTCACTGTACATGTTCACGTGTTTGCCCACCAGTGGGTACGACGTGACGTAATTTTTAGGTCCAGTGTTGTAAGTATAGTGGCATTAAGCTTGTCTTACCACGGAATTGTAACGGTCGTTTTGGTCCTAATTCTGCCATCAGCGTTACACATCCATATAATTTCTACTTTTCTCTAAATATTTACAACTATATATAGCCTACATGCAAGCCCATTTATAACATGTAAAAGAGTCATCTGCACCCTCCGGGTAAAAAAGAAAAATTACGCCTCCAACGTCAATTGACAAAACAAGAGGGGAGGAACAGAATAATTCTTACTATGGAGCCCGTTCATAAAGGTAAAAGACACCTAGGGCCTATGTCAGTTTAACTACTCTTGACACTAATTTCAACAAACACAATATTTCTTTGAATTTATATATACATTTGTTACATTGCTTTTAATACGGCTACAAAGTATGCATTTCACTGAGGTCGTTCACACGAAGGCCCTTTCTAGGTTAAAATATTCTAATAAAATAATCGGCTCGTAGGCCTAAATAATGAAACATGCAAACCATAGGGCTATAGCACTATTAATAGAATACAGACGCTGGTATTACACATGTGGTCACTTAGTCTTCGGACCGTTACAGTGTGTTTTTCATATAGTAAAACATATTCTAAAAAAAGATACATTCATACATTTGGAAATGTAAATAATATTATTAAAAAGAAAGACATGGTGAAGAATTATCCATATAGATATATATGACAAGAACATGAATACTGATAACCAGAACCAGCATACAAACGTAGGATTACATAATAATTATACCTTACTTCCCCGTTTTATCCAATTGAATGTGAACATTTTCCATTTCAAAAATCTCAAACGGTAAATGAATACTCACTAGAATAAATAGAAATTATCACTAGTGACATATAATCATATTAATTATCTCATCAAATTCCAGTGTAAAAACATGCGATAATGCTTTAAAAATTGTTTACACTATTTCAATGGATTTTTAAACAGAATCGTATAAAAATAATTAAAAAATAAACCTACTTATTAATTGGTTGCTTTTAACTAAAATAGTTACATTTTATTTTTCCGGTACGGGCTATAATAGTAGTTTGATGAAGATTCGTCTATCCATGATGTCAATTATATATAATTTTAAACTTTGAACACTGGATGATAATAATGTTTAAAAATGGGAATTATCCCTAAAACAACTGGTTGAATTTTGAATTTTTCAGGATATACAATTCCATGTAGCTTTTAGAAATAACATTGACATTAAAGGTTTACATACAAAAACACACACAAAATGTCTCTAAAGGAGCGGTTGTTATTAATATGCAAACAGAATTGTTAAGAACAATTTCAATATCTTACAATAACTATAATCTACGAAAGACATTGTTTGAATTATCGATGCTTAACTGAGATACGTTTGGTCTTAGTATCATTTCAAGTTATTTTAATAAACTGTCGAATTTTAGGTAAATAGGATTCAAACTCAGGAACGGATTTCATCCAACAATTAGCAATACTCACAGTTAATTTCTTTAACTTCTTGATGTACTCTTTGAAGAAACTACAGTTTAACGTAATTTTATTTGTCGTATGATTTAAAAAAACGTTTGTTTTACGAGAAAAAAATATTGAATACGCTGAGCACTTATGGCACATTTAGATACTAATCTAGGCCTATTATCCTTAAAAATCTACACAGATTTCCAAATCTAACATTGCACGATAGCATTGATTAGTAAGTAAGGTCATGTATTCTGCTTTCTGGCACACGCTTTATCATTTCGTCTGCTTAATGGAGCATAATGTGGCGTGAGTCGTTTTGCACTAAGCATCTTTTGAATAGAGTACACGATACTTCAACATCGTGTTGTCACTAGCATACGAGGTGTCATGCCAAGTGTGCAATAGCGTTTACTTCTGTCTACTGCATACGATAAGACGTGTCGTGTACTTAACAGGACAGTGAGATACGTCGTATCGTCTGCCACAACCGATATGGCATGTTGTGCCTTCTGCTCCTTTTGTTGCGTGTCTGCTCACAAGCGTACATTTATGAAGTCGTGTCGTCTGCTTATACGTCGCTCTTTTACTATCTAATCTGTTTCTTCAGAGTGGGTGAACTAGTGTACACTTCGGTAGATTATCGGTAAAGTACTGCAGCAGTTCGGCTGTAGCACCTTGGCAATTGGTCAATTCTAACTCCTCTAAATCTGTCAACTGTGCTAATCCAGATAGTCCAGCGGCAGTAAGCAAAGGACATCCTGAATTAGAAAAGAAAAATGTTTAAAATGAATATTGTTTCAACAGTCTCATCGTGAAAATTTTACCGCATTTGTTTTATCTGAAGAATGGTGATATATAACACAAATATACTAAAAAACATACCGGCTACAGAAAGTATTCTTAGACTTTGCATATTATACAAATGCTGTAGACCAAAATCTTTGACTTGAGAGCACCAGCGTAAGTATAGCGCCACCAAACAGTTTAATGCCGACAGGTAGCCCATTCCAGTATCAGTGATTCGTACACATCTGTAACAAAACATAACGTACACTTTCTTAGAGAATTCAAACTTAGATTGATAACGATATCAGCTTAATTGAACAATAAAATGGGGGGCCACGAGAAAAAAGGTAGAGGAGACAGCCGATACAAATATCAAAAATAATGTCAAATATCTACCCTCTATAAATGGCGAAATGATGCGTTGATTGGTAGGAGTGGTAGGCCTACCATCGACTTGGAGGACTTTTTAATTCCGAATGTATCACAACATTAGACATTTTAAATGTGCCAAATGTCTGTTGCACTCTCAATTTACTGTGGTAAACGTAAACAACTTGTCATCCGGGCACTCAAAGATACACATGGGACTGTTATACAACCTAAATACATTCATCCTTGACGTCACAATGGCAATCCAATTTAAATGTTTTAATCAACTTTAGAATGAAATTCCGAAATCAATGGTGTCGTCTCAAATTTTATTGCCATTTCTGCTTTTATAGTTTGTCAATAGTGATATTCTTTATTATTTTTTTGTTTATTATATGATTTTTGTACTTGTTCTTCAAAACGTTAACATTAATTGTGCAACTTTGTCTTTTTACTAGTATGTCAAGATTAGCACAGCAGTGACCTACCCCTATAAGTACAAAACTAGCACATGCAGTTGAGATCATACGGTTACCAAAACAATACAAGAAGGCTTCATGAATATATTTTAGAACCTCTGATGCTCTGACCTATGTTTGCCTCCATCGGGATTTGAACCTAAGACTTTCCGATAAAACTTAGGGCAACTTAGTTGGTGTGGCACTGCTCTATTTGATTTTCAAAAGTTCTGTCTTAAGGTATTGCGGGATACACAATTAGTAATAGTTAAATCATGATAGTAACTTCGGTATGACGAACAACTCCATCAGTGATATATAAATCCTCTTGCAACTGATTACAAACTGTTTAGTACGAACTAGCAGCGTTTGTGCGAGTTTTTTTCATGAGTTTTTTGCGAGTACTAACGTGATCGTATGAGTTGCGGTGGTAGCGCCAGATCTTCCCCGACAGGTGTTTAGTACCCCCGACAGGGGAGCCTCTTAACTTGCATAGTTTTCTATCAAATTATCCTTTTTAAATAAGGGATATGGCCTACCATAATCAACACATTTTTTTTTCCCGACGGGGGGTACCAGGCTTCCCCGACGGGGGGGAGGATCTTGGACCCCCTTGTCGGGAAGCTTGGACCCCTCGTCGAGGAATTCCTGGCGCCGCCCCTGGTGCTACGCAGCAAATCTAATCTTCATGGACATGTCTTTTTGAAACCTATTCATTGATACACTGTGTTAACAACTATACCATGGGCCTATATCTGGCAAGAACATGGCTGCCGTATTTGCAGATTAATCACTAATTCCATTAAGCTGTACCGAAAATGTCATTGCTATGGAAACTGCTAATGTGATTCTCTTGTTTGCCATTTAAAGGTAGCATTCGCTTCAACTACTGTATCACCTTTTCATCAATCTTATACGTCCGTTAGATTCCAAGATTAGATTAATTATCTAATTAAATAATTGTCCTCATTAGTTGTGATTAGTTTCTTCTAAGCAAAAACAATTATTAAATCTATGCCATGCATCGCTACATTGTATCGACAGACCTCGAAAGAAATGAATTACTGTACACAAGTTTCCAAGAAACGGATTTAATTTGGAAATTGGATAAATTGTGAACATAATTTTAATTGTGAAAGTATACAACGTAATAATCAACATGTAAATCCACACTTTCCACAACTATCGTGTAATAATAGTAAAAACAAGTAAATCAGTATTAAAGGTTATCATTCACAAAGTTTATCATTAAAACGCTTCTCTCTTGCATAAAGTTACTGTAGTGAAATTAATATGGGAAGACTACAAATGTGTTAAGAATCTGAATAACACGTGAACTTTGCTTCGGTACTGTTGATTTATCTTTCATTTTTTCCTTTCCTGTGTTTTAATCATACTTTCAGGTGAGACAAAAACATCCTGTATGAATTGGTGTACAAATCAAAAGAACCAACAAGTTTACGAAAAAAACACACCATCAATCACTTTCTCTTTAAAAGAGGACACTATACCATCCTAAAATAGCTTCCTCGTGAATATTGTCGAAGCCTTTTTTTTTATTTCCTCACATCCATTGGCAGGTACACTCGCCACTTACAGGATGGGAATAATGCTTTATAAACTAAGCTTCTTTTATGATGCTTAGGGAGTGAAGTTGTTTTTTCAATAGTTAGAAAAATTCTTGCCGTGACAGGAATTGAACCCAGGATCCTGGGATCAGAAGGCAATCACCTTAACCACTGAGCTATTCAACTCCACTCCTGCTGCCTTATCCAGACTATCACATGTGATAGATATGATCATAATGACATCCCATCATGACTATAGGCACATCTTGACTATATATGGGCATACAGCAGGTTAAAAAAGTAAATTGTATAGTGTGGACAGAGCTTTATTTAAAGCCCCATTCATGGCAAAATTTCATTTTGTTAAGAAAAATCTAATTTTTGTATAATGTTATAAAGATTTATAAATATAATACGGAATTGCTAGTTTAACGGAATTTAGACATTCCTAAGAATGAAAAAAAAATGTGAAATAAGACTGAAATTTGATTTTTTGTGTTCCACACAAAAAATAAATGCGGATGAATTTT